GGCAAATACAATGTTTTCTGATTCGTGTTCAGAATCACTGCAGTGTGGCCCCATTCAAAAAGACCTTAAATAATCCATACTCAGAGCTCCATTCTAACTGCTAAAAACAGATGTTGGAAAACATCCTTTAGCAGCACTACTAACTAATTTGAAGGTTAATATTACAACCCAGCCTGTCCAAGCAAAGAGTCTGAAATGGCACCTAATAAATAACATCTCTGCAAGTATGAGCAGTTATGAAGCTGTTTTGCTCTTGCAGCCATTAAAAGCACAAGGACCTCCAAAAGAAAAGCTAAAAATGGACATTATGTGTAAAACAAAGCCTCTTCCTTTATCACATGTCCAATATTTGACAGGCTTTTAAAAGAGAGAATGAGTTTCAAGCCTTTACACAATCTGAGCCTGCAAAACATTCACTGTCCAAATGAGATCTTTAACAAGACCACAGTCTCATTGTCACTTCAAGACGGGCACTAAATTGTGCTGATACTCATGAGAAGTTGCATGGCAGCTATTTGTAGGATCTGTCTTCACTGAGCTGCTTACACACAGATATGTGTGTGAGTGAACAATGGCTTGGCTTCCAGGACAACTTCAGTGCTCCAATCTTTTTTAACACTTGAGGAGTTTTGATAATCACTAGATTTCTTACAGTGGTTCCTGAACACCTTCCAAACTTTAGCTTTGGCTAGCTTTAGCTGTTTCTCTAGAGAAGACAGAAGACTTTTTGCTCCTATCCCATGCTAACTTCCTAATTCCCCAATGAGAGAGCAAGATATTAAATTCATCACCTTTGTCAAATAGCCAGATTTAACAGGAAACCATTATTGCCAGCGAATAATAAATGCTTCATGTTTCTCCAATTACTTTACTACTGCCTCATAATTTCTTAGTGGGACAGTCAGTCTCCTTCTTTACTGATCTTTAAACCTGGCTTCATCTGACAGAAAATAAACTTTGTTCCTCTCTTAAAAATGGTAAGATCAGCATCAGCAACTCCAGGGACACATGACGTATAAAACAGCAACTACAAACCAGGTCTCTCATAAACTGGGATGTTTTTTATTTTATTTTTTTTAAATTATGAGATTTTTGAAACCACAATATCAAGAATCCCAGGTATGCATAAAATAGATATTGAATAGGAAAATATTTGTTATTCCAGAAAGTTTAGGGGCCACAGCATTCTAAAGTTCAGTACCACAGTGTCTTAAAGATAAGCGCACATAGATATGACAACATATCAGTATGTTAGCTCAGCATTTCTTCCAAGGAGGAGAGAAGGGAGGAAGAAGTATTTATTTATTTCAAGAAAATAACTGTATGTAAATAACTATAATTTTAGTGTTTGAGCAATTAGAAGCATACATTTCTACACATAAGGCAATAAAATAGGACACCTCTCTGTGGAAAATCCTGAAAGTTAATTACATTTCCATTGTTGTGTTGTTCTTTTTTTTTCCTTCTCTTCAGTCTTGCTAAAGATCAATGAATCATAAAAGTAAACACTTTCCAGTGTAAACTCCATCATTACTGACCACCGGGTGTCACTGTTACATTAAAATCCATAATTTCCCAGTTTGTTTAGTTAGAAAATGAATGCCTTCATCCAAAGAAAAAAAAATAATTCTTTTCTCCCAAGACAGATTGAGATGCAAGCAATTTGTGGGCAGACATGTTGTATAAAATAGGTTAATACAGCGTTCCTCTAACTTATTGCACACATCTTTTCATATTGCTACTGACACATTTATTATTAGCAAAGCTGGCAATGATATCTAGAGTTAAAATTCCCTAACACTTTCCATCATAAGGCCCTACTTTCAGTTGTTTATTAGTTTGTCAGCCTTTAACTGCTGGATCTTATATTTTCCATGCCTTGTCTCTGCCTTGGGCCAGATTGTTTTGGAAAGTTTTAGTGAAAAATGGGGTTGGCAACTTCCGAGAACAA